CACCCCTGCCTAACACCTATGACAAAAGCCATATGTTGATAGTGAGGTTCTGGAAACTGATAGTCCAAAAAGTACAATTTCCAAGTCTGCCCCTATCAATTCCAAAATGGTGATGGAATATGAGTATTCTGGGGCACAAGAGGAATATAAGTGTGTGTGCTTTTGATTATTTTTTGCAAAACACTCTCAAGTGGTTACCCTTAATGTATGAGCTAGAGGTCTTTCTTTGGGCAAATGCCAGTAGATCTGCATCCCTAATGGTTGTCCATTGGAGAGTAACCACCACAGAACACAGTCAAAATAGGTTATAAGTAAACAACTAGGAGTGTACTCAAAGAGGTAGCTTTCAATCCATTTACATTTATGGATATCTATGTGGATATACTCCTGTTATTTTCATTGTGAACTGTGGACACAAACCTAATGTTCAGATTTTGTATTGGCAGCTATATCTGTTTCAGCTGGAAATAACATAATAGTAAAGTTACACTGTATAATTTACGCAATTTGACACAACTTTATTTATTGCTCAATGGTATGGAATCATGGGAGATGTAGTTTGGTGAGGTACCAGCATTCTTTGGCAGAGAGGGCTAAAGACCTTGTATAACTAACATCCTCAAGGCCCCCCAAATTTCCAAAATAGAAAAAAAAAAACAATGATCTAAAATGGTGGCTGAAAATGACATCACATCACTTCAACTATACTGAAACATGTTCCTATGTCCCGCCAAGTGGATGCAAGAAGGAAGGCTGTTTTCAGTTCCCCATCTCTAGTTTGCAGTTCCTCATCCCTGGCCTAAGCTATTATCTAAATGTATTTTCATTATTAGGCAGAAGATTCCTTGTGGATACTGGCTGGAAGGTCTTTCTTATATGTTTTTTTAATTTCTCCTTATAGATATAACTAACGTCCTGAAACAGAAACATTCTTTCAACAGTGTGCCAGTTCTAGTCCACCCATACTATGAATCTTTGGGCACAGCTCTATATGGAAAGGAGAGACCACCGATTAAGATGCCAGACTTGAGCAAAGTATCTCTGGATCGCTATCACTGGTGCTTTTTACAGCAGAATCCAGAGTTACGTCGGGAAATAGATCGTGAGATGGCAGGCTGCCACTGTGAGATAGAGTGGCCAACCAGAGACTGCACCTCTCCAGAAATAATAGCACGTCCTTCACCTGCTTTGCTGAAGCAAAAACTATCCTTGATCAAGACTTGGAATGAAGATGTTTCTTCACAGCTCACACAGATCCTATCAAAGCAGAAGGTTGTCCAGTGTGAAGCTGATGCTGTGGTGTGGGAAGCCATAAGGAACAGTGTAACAAAAAAAGATGGAATTCTGATTTTTCCAGATATTACAAACAAAATAGTTGCCCTTGTGGGAACAGCGGAAGCTGTAGATATTGCAGAGAAAGACCTAATATCTCTCATTGACAGGGCTAAACAAAAGATGGAACGAGAGCGCCAAACGGTAGAGCAAGATGTGCCAGTTATTTCTGAAAAGTACATCATTTTAAGGAAGGCTGGGCTGCAGGAGAGAATCCATTTGAAGTATCCAGACCTAAAGATTGCTTATGATAGTTCAAAAGAATGTGTAATCCTGCGTGGTTTAGCTGCAGAAGTCTTTGAAATAAAAAGCAATATCTATGAAAGTTTATCCAACATGGACAAGAAGACTGTGACTGTTCATGCTTACATTCTTCTTTTCTTGCAACATGCCAGTAATGAAGATGTGTCCCAACTCTTATTCTGGAAGAAGAATATTAATGCCTTCTATGAGCTTAAGGATGAGAAAGTTCAGCTGATGGGAGGAACTTCCCTGGATGTTCAACATGCTGAGAGAGAAATTCAGAAGGATCTCACGTACAAATGTATTGCACTTGAGGACAAAGAAGTTGTCAGAATGAAGGCGTGGAAGGAACTGACCCATAATCTGTACAAGGCTTATAATTGTTCAGATGAACCCATCATAATTAATGAGTTGGAGGATCAGGTAGTCATTGCAGGTTATTTCAAAGCAGTGAGTGATGCCAATCAGAAGCTGTCTAATTTTGTTGATACCAACACATATATACAAAAAACCATCAAGACTAAGTTTGCTGTAGTCCCAATGTACATAGAGCAGGAGAAGCAAAATCATTGGCTTAATGTGACGAAACAAGGTGTTAAGATTGATTTTGGCAAACGGGAAAATTGCAGCCTGATTTCCCTTGAAGGACCCAGAGTAGAAGTGCTGAAGGGGCTTGAAATCTTGCAAAAACTCTTGTCGTCTCTGCATTCTTTGCGTGTGGTAGTTGATCGGCCAGGAGCCAAAGCTTTCTTCAAGGAACAAGAGCACATGTATGTTACTAATGCAAAGCAACATTTTAACTGTCTGATAAGGATTCAAGAAGGCATAGAGCATGATGGAGAGGAAGGTGAGGATGAAGAAACCAATAAAGAAAAGGAGCAGCAGTGCTGTGAAGTTAAACTAAGAAATGGCATTGTAGTGAGCGTTTACAGGGGAGACCTGACATGTTTTTCAGTTGATGTTGTGGTCAACGCTTCAAATGAGGAATTGCAGCACATTGGTGGCCTTGCAGATGCTCTCCTAAAAGCAGCTGGCAGGGAGTTACAAAGTGAGTGCAATGACTTGGTGAGGAAGCATGGAAATGTGAAGCCTGGCCATGCAGTGGTCACAAGTGCTTGGAAGCTACCATGTAAGCAGGTGATTCATGCTGTTGGGCCAAGGTGGAGCAGTTATGAAAAAGAAAAATCTATCAAACTGTTGAAGAACGCAGTGAGGGAAAGCTTACGGTTGGCTGAAGCATATAACCACCGCTCAATAGCCATCCCTGCCATCAGTTCAGGAATTTTTGGATTCCCACTCAAAGAGTGTGCCCGTTCTATTGTGACATCAATCAAGGAAACAATTGAAGAGTTTGAGTATGAGTCCTTGAAGAAAATATGCCTAGTGGATTTTAAAGAAGATACTCTCCAGGCATTCTCTGAAGCCTTGAATGAAGTGTTTGCAGATAGAATATCATTATCTAAAATAGACTCTAGACCATCTCCTGCCTCCAGAACAAAGCCACCTCATGCTGAGAGTAGAGCAGGATATCAAGGGGCCATTACTGCTGAAGGTCTGAAGATTTGTATACAGAAAAAGGGAATTGAAGATGCAACAGTGAGTATAATGAAAAGAAGTTACTCTCTCTAGTGCAGTGGTTCTCAACCTGGGGGTCGGGACCCCTGAAGGGGTCGTGAGGGGGTGTCAGAGGGGTCGCCAGAGGGGTCGCTAAAGATCATCACAGACAGTATTTTCTGTTGGTCATGGGAGTTCTGTGTGGGAAGTTTAATTCTATTGTTGGCGTAGTTCAGAATGCTCTTTGAATGTAGTTGAACTATAAATCCCAGCAACTACAACTCCCAAATGTCATGGTCTATTTCCCCCAAACTTCACCGGTGTACATATTTGGGCATATTGAGTATTTGTGCCAAGTTTGGTACAGACCCATCATTGTTTGAGTCCACAGTACTCTCTGGATGTAGCTGAACTACAACTCCCAAACTTAAGGTCAACGCCTAACTCCATCCTCCCATCCTCCCACCAATCCTCCCATCCCAACCCCACCAATATTCAAATTTGGGCATATTGAGTATTTGTGCCAAATTTGGTCCGGTGAATGAGAATACATCCTGCATATCAGATATTTACATAACGATTCATAATAGTGGCAAAATTACAATTATGAAGTAGCAACGAAAATAATTTAATGGATAGGGGTCACCACAACATGAGGGACTGTATTAAGGGGTCGCGGCATTAGGAATGTTGAGAACCACTGCTCTAAGATGCCACAAGATTCCCTTTGCAGACTGATATGCCAAACTAACACAGCTATGGCTTTGAATTCTGAGATTTATGAGGTTTCCTATTCCCTGTTTCATCCTCATAAGAAACTTGTGCAATCAGTTGAGTTGAGAGAGAGAGAGAGAGAGCGAGAGAGCATGTCACTGGCCCAAGGACATCAACACAGTAATGACCATTCTTCATTACAATCCAGAACTCCAGCATTTTTTAAAAGGGACTAGTAAGTATCACTGAGTGGAGGCACAAACAAGGATCACCCAAGCTTCTATGCAAAACAATAGCCACTTGCACCCATTTTTACAGCAAAATTGGTGCAAAGGGGATGTCAAACAAAGCAGGCAGATGAACAAGAAAGGATGCCCATTTGTGTGCATGCCTGTCCATTTACGGCACTGGTACTTAACCTGTGGGCCACGGACCACCAGTACGCCACAAGGATGAAAATCTGGTCTGCGAGCCTCCTTCCCCTTCATTTATTTTATTTCTGCTCCTTTTGCACCGCCTGCCAGTCCTTCCTTGTTGCTGACCAGGCCTGATCCTTTAGGTCCGTGGACCGGATACGGCCCCCCGAGGTCATTTACCCAGCCCTCGCTCAGGGTCAACCTAAGTCTGAAACGACTTGAAAGCACACAATCAAAGTGCTGGTTTTAACCTACAAAACACTATACGGTTCCGGCCCAGTTTACCTGTCTGAATGTATTCTCCCCTATGAACCATCAAGGCAATTAAGATCTTCTAGTGTGGCCCTGCTCTCAGTCCTGCCACTTTTGCAATCGCATCTGGTGGGAACGAGAGACAGGGTCTTTTCTGTGGTGGCCCCTCGGCTATGGAACTCTCTCCCAATTGAGATCAGCCCTGCCCCCTCCCTCCTGTCCTTCAGGAGGCTGGTGAAATCCTGGCTATGGAAGGAAGCATTCCCAGAGTAATGGTTGAAACTGGCTACAGAACAAAGTTATCGACCACACATACGGACTGAGTTGGACATGATTTTATCTTGGTGATTTGGCTTATTTGTAAATTTATATGTATTTTAACTTGTTGTTATTGTATGATGTTTTTAGATTGTACTATTAGCATTGAATCCTTGCTGTACCCGGGTCTGAGTCCCTCTATGGAGGGTAGGCTTGGCGATTTCACACCCAAGTCCTCCAACTTTGCCCAGTCACATTTCGATTGTGATCACCAGATCTAGCTTAATAATTCAGGGAGTTAGGAAAATGCTGATTTCCATGCAAAGGTTTACACCTGGTTGGCCTGGTTCTTCTGGTTATTACATGGCAACCTGAAAAATGTAGTACATGGTGGGAAAATGATCCTACTCTGTCATTTCCCTTCATTATGCATTACATATCTCAACAACAACCAAAAAAATCCTGGTGTCTTGATTTTTAGAC